TCCCCCGCTTCATTCCTCCCCTCCCGCTACCTTCTTCTTCTTTTTTTTTCTTAACATATCTTGCATTATTTGTCTCAGAGGTACAGATCTGAGGAAAGTAGTATTTTTTTTTGAAAGAGTATTTTAAATGTTGAATCACTTACTGTGCTAATAGATTGAACTTTTTCCTAGCCTTAATGTGGATTTTCAGAATTTGATTTGAGTAAACACATATTAAGGCTACCAAACAGTTTCTCATTTTGAATAGTCTGTGTTAGTAGAATTTTATTACATATTAAAATCTATAGGATTTTGATCTTTGTATTGATAATGGTCTGTGGCATTAAAAATTAGTGTATTTATGAATGGTCTTTATGTATACAATCATTTGTTTCTATAATCTATATAAACAGGTTATATATTTATATAAACTGGCTTATATTCTAAAATTTTGATTTGTTTGTTTGAAAGATAAGTCAGATTTTTTATTTTCAAGAGTATGCTAAGTGAGAGACTTAGCAGATTGTGTCGGTAGAAGGAATACAGGATTTGGAGACCAGTAGGCTTGGGTTGGAATCCCAGCCCCTGCACTTAGCAGCTACATGACCCTTGGGCATGCAGTTTTACTCCTCAGCTCCATTGCCTCATCTGCAGAATTGGAACAGTGCTAGTTCCTTAGCTGCACAGTGCCCAGCAGATAAAAGGGCTCTATTTCTCTTGTAACAAGTTCACAGTCACTTGTAGAATGCTAAATGGAATACCATATTGTGAAAAATATTGTACGTTGAGGTTTAATTATTGTCACAATAGTTAATCGAAAAAATAGTTTAAGTAAATGTAATACTTGCTCATATCCCCTCTATCTGGAACAAATTTCAGAATGGGGATCAGGGAGAAGAAAAAGTTTCTAGTTAAAATATATGTCTTAAAGTCCACACACTAAGAGATCCTGTGTTATACTCAAGCCCATTTTATTTTTCCTCACAGTTCCAATAAGCTTGGATATCTGGTTTCTCCACCACAGCAAATTAGAAGGGGGGAGAGGAGCTGCTACAGGTAGGCTTGTTAAACATCTTGAAAAACTGTAATCTGATGACATGCTGAAAAATATAACACAAATTAAAGCACAGCAGTGGCAGGGGAGGGAGGTCATTTGGTTTATGCTTATCTCACTTAAGTCCTCAGGAGTTGCCCTTGAGGCCTAGAGAAAAATAGATTACATTTAGTCTTTTAAATGATGGTTTTAGGCTACATCTTTAATACTCCTTCCCAGTGACTACTTGCTCCAAGCTCACAGCAGAATATTAGCTCACATGCTCTTTTGAGGGTAGAAGGAAGTCATTAAAGTCCAGATAATATTTAAGGTGACAGTTTAATTTAAGATGAAAGTTAACTTGCTCACCTCCCAAGTGTGAAGACTTGCATTTATTCCTCTTCTAGACTCCATTGTCTGAATCTTCTCCCACCTTCTCTTTTCCAAAAGAAGAGACAAAGAAATTGTTCGGGGCTTTTGCCCTGGACAGGCAAAAGCAATGTTACTCTTCGAAGCCCGAAGTCTTATTATCTAGGTCACACTTGCCACCAGGGTAAAGGGCCTCTAAATTAACTCTATAACAAGAATATTAAGGTTTATCTTCTAGTGCTGCATTGAGAATTGCTAAGTAATAACTTTGTTACTAGATCACATGTTAATAGAAGATAATATTTACTAATTCAGACTCTGAAAAGAGGCTTAAACTCTAAGCCCCTGCTGCTGCTGTTGTGTACCAGTTATTCATAATTTAAAGAACCTTTAGCTTAACAGAAATAAGCCCACCTTTTAAAGAAGCCACTATTTCTTTGATGAGGGACAATTCAGAAACTTTGGCCAGCACTGTTATTTTCACCCAACGCTTAGAAATAAAACATTGAGATTTTTAGTTGTTAATTACAAATGTTAAGAGTAGTACTTATTTTCTTGAGGATGAAAGGTAGAGCATAGGGCATATAATCAATGGTATTGTGATAGCGTAGTATGGTGACAGTAGTTACACTGTGA